TGAAAACTTGTGACTTAGGCAAAATTAAGGCATCCCGCTGGACTATCAATTCAAAAGAATTAGTTCAGGCAAAAGTTAGGGAAAATAAAATTGCAAGGAAAGGAATACAAAGAAAATTCCTCAACAAAGAACAAAATGGTGACTACAAACACGAAGACATAAAGGTGGTTGCTACACGGAAAGCCTCGTCGTTTCCTTGACCGTCACAAAATCCTTTTGAGAGATGAACACTCATGTTGAATTAACTGAACATAGGGTTGGAGAACATCATGAAGAATGGGTGGGCACCAAATATTTTGAGCCTTAAAATCTTTTTTCTAAAAACCATGAACCAGACCACGTTACAACCTTCAAAAGTCCTAATTGAAGCAAGGTTATTTTGAAAGCATACTTCAATGAGATAGTGTTCCTGACTCCCATGAATGTTCTAAATAGTTATGTTGGTATCATATGTTTTTCCTATGCAAAAATAAATGGTGCTTTAACTCGCAAAATTTGTGCGATATCTTTCAAAATCTTCAAGGCTTACATAACTGTTGCATTAGAATTTCCATTCTCATTGTAAACTTTTTCTAACTGCAAAACATTTGTTTGATATCAAGGAAGCTCACATATAAGCACCAGTGATGAGTTTATTCTTTTAAGGCCTGAAACTATGTTGAGTAATTGGAGAATCATTTCAAAAAATCATATCCTTGGGCATGTCACCTGAAGACCTTAAGCACGAACATGTTGCTTCTCCTAATTAATGCTTTCCCAACTTGTTTACTCTTTTGGGGCAAAATTTGAAGATTTGTTGTGCCAACTACAGTCAATCCGGGGCAATCACGTAGAGATTTGATGAATCTCTCTAAGAGTTTGAAGACACCAGAGCATGGTGAATGCCAGGTCTTTTGTAAAATCCTCTTGAGACGATTTCTCCTCATCAACCATATAGCTTGGGGCATTTTAGAGGTGAAGCTATTCGCAAGAATTGTCGTGCATCACGCAGCTTATCAGCAGTAAACTTGGGGCATCCAAAATTAGTCCCAGGGGCAATCCAGATTTGTCAGGATATGTGATAGGTATTGCACACATTATCGGAGGGTGGTGTTCCCAGTATCTCCAGCTAAGCAAAACTTCTTTCCAGCCGAAACATTGTTCGTGTTGTCATCCTTTCAAGGGATTGTTAGTGATAGAAGACTGAACTTTGGGATTTCTACCGAAAAATATCTTCCTCTCCAAAGAGATTTAAGCCTTGTAAAAGGACTTTTCTCCAATGATGGCTTTTGTTTTTATCTCCAGTAATGTTTCCCTTTTGTTGAGATTATCTGAGCGTCGGGTTGTACTGGGACGTCTTATCATCTTCTGTCTATCTCCCCTGTCTGTTTTGTCAACATATACATGACATTCATTTATTCATTCACACTTGCATCATGCATGCACAGTTGTATTTGTTGATGTCATTGAGTTCGTACACCTTGGTTATGTCTATTCAAATAACATATTTGATCTTTCCAAATAGAGTGTCAACTTAAGCATAAAGTGTGTCTTCTTTCTAATTCCCCACTGAGTTAACTCTCGTGGAAGAATCTTGCTTTAGCTTTCCTTTTCCATCTCTGGATAGGATAAATCCCCATTTGAGTTTGTTCCTCCTTGGGTGGAGTCTTGTTTGACTGTTTTCTCCCCAGTTTATTCCTGGATTGAGCTTTGTCTCTTGTGAACGATACCTTGTGAATATCTCTAGGCTGTGAAACCTAGATGGAAAGTGCATTTATTTTGCAACGTAAATACTTGGTCTCCTCAAGAAGGATTTATTCATGGTTCCCCATTGAAGATGAACTTTATTCCCCAGTAGTGTTATCACAACCTTCTTCTGGAATATCGACATGACAACAAGCGATTGACTCTTCATTTGAGCAGTTTGATTATTTCTGATTTCTCTACGACAAATGGCGGTCTCTTCATGAGCAGTTTGTCCATCCTCAATGAAATTATTGGTTCTCACCTCCAGCAATATCTTCACGATATTTTATGGGTATCTTTGTGGGAAACAGCAAGCGGCGGTCTCTTCATGAGGCAACTTGTGTGTTATGGATACTCTTGACAAACAGCAAGCGGCGGTCTCTTCATGAGCAACTTGTGTGTTATTTTTCTCTTGAAAAACATCAAGTGGTGGTCTCTTCATGAGCAACTTGTATGTTATTGATACCTTGAAAGAAACAGCAAGCGACAGTCTCTTCATGAGCAACTTGTTTGTTATGGTCACCTTTGAAAACAACAAGCGGCGGTCTCTTCATGAGCAACTTGTGTGTTATTGGTAATTTTGAAAAGAAAACAACAAGCGGCGGTCTATTCATGAGCAACTTGTGTGTTATTGGTAATTTTGAAAAGAAACAGCAAGCGGCAGTCTCTTCATGGACAACTTGTATGTTATCAACACTTTTAAAAACAGCAAGCGGCAGTCTCTTCATGGACAACTTGTGTGTTATCAACACTTTTTGAAAACGGCAGGTGGAAGCTTCTTCATGAGCAGCTTGTACGTTAGTATTTTTGGAAAACAGCAAGTGGCAGCTTATCTATTTGAGCAACTTGTGTGTTATTGTTCCCTTGAAAACGGCAAGTGGCAGCTTCTTTATGAGCAGCTTGTGGGTTATTGGCAACAAGTGGCAGACTCTTCATGAGCAGCTTGTGTGCTTTAATATTCTTTGAAGATAGCAAGTGGCGGTCTCTTCATGAGCAGCTTGTATGTTATTGACACCTTTGAAAGGAAGCAAGCGGCGGCCTCTTTATTTGAGCAGCTTGTGTATCCCCAACAATAATGTCTACTCAACAAATGGCATCCCTTTCGGAAAAGTCCCGTGGGGAAGTTTGTTATTTTATCCTTTTCAAGCGATATCTTAGTTAAAGAAGAAATGTGTTACCGTTTTGGTAAAATTCAGAAATCAGAGATGTTTATTTCCAGCCACAGTGCTGATGTCAATCATTTTGTTTTCCAGTCACAATACTGATGTCCATCATTTCCTTTTCCAGTCACAGTACTGATGTCAATCATTTCTTTTTCCAGTCTCAGTGTTGATGTAAATCATTTCTTTTCCAGTCTCAATACTGATGTAAATCATTCAAGAGTCTCTCATTTGAAGTCTATGACTTTGTTTCCCCAGTGGTGTTATAATTTGTTCCCCTGTAGGGTTACAATAATATGCTTGGTTTCTCCAGCATAGTTTGTCTCATATGGTGTCATCCCCCATAAAATTCAAAACATCACATTCATATCATATCATAAACATAATTGCGGTATCTTAAGGCCAAAAATTGTGTATTCTATATTTAAGTCCCTTCAATCTCGTCGAAATGAAGATCCCAATCTTCATATCTCCAGATAGAAGAAACTTAAATAGGGGCAGCTGTTGTACCCCAATTTTTGACCTAAGATCCCATTTTTATTTTTTGCATTTTTAAAGATAAGTCAAGGTCACGAAATACGGTCGGTTTTAACGTCTCACATTCGAGCTTTGACTATGCGAAGATTGTCAAGTGTTTTGAACATTTTTAGCATATGTATCACTAATTTCTAATCGCATACAAAGGTGTATGTTCATGTTTTCTTTTGTGTCATGTTCAGAGACAGGTCTGAATCAAGAGCATCAGGTGTCGCGCCTCAATTAAGGTTTTGAGTCTCCCAAGCCAGAAGTAAAGTTGATTGTGGATTCTCGAAGATTGATTCATCAAGGCACACCGTTGCACCCTTAGTTTCGCCCCTAATTTTTTCAGTCGCACATTCGTACCATATTTTGTCATTTTGGTAATAATCATTAGTAAATATTTTCATTCAACATATTTTACATCATTAGTCGTATTTAAGTTGACCAGAAAAGTCAGTTTACATCAAAGTTTGCATCGTCTTTTAGTTAAAAAATACCTGACATTTCACTTCATGCATTTTTATCTCTTTACTCGTTTCTTGCATTGCTCCAAGTTGTTTATGTGTCGATAATAAAAATATTTTTGTTTTATAGACAAACTGTTAAAAGCGATTCAATAATGTGCGAAAAATTAGCGAGGAAAATATTTCAAGTTTTCACCTTTTACCGATCATTTTATGAATCTGCATCTCGCATAGATTATGACGGTATGCTCGCTTTATTTTTTTCGATACAGTTTGAAGTCTCGTTTTTTAATCGTAAAACGTCTGTTTAGCCTGATATTTTTATTATTATTTTATTTTGATTTTTGACTTTTTGAATATTTTTTCTTTAATCTTTTTTACATGTAGTTCATTTTAATGTGTTCATATTAATTTTTCGGATAAATTTTCTTCCGTTTTTTTTTTTATTGTTTTAGTCATTTTGGGTCCTTATTTTTTATTCAGAAAAGATTCAAAAAGAAAAAAAGTTATTTTAAATGGAGTTAATTTTAATATTCTTAGTCTTTTTGGTTATTTTTATCATTTAAGGGTTATTTGGTCACAAAAAATATTATTCACTGTGCTTGAATCTTATTGGCTATTAGCAAAAATGGCGGATAGATGCAGATTTAATAATTTTGGACGGATGGGATTAAACCTGAAAACAATATTCTTCTTATTTAAGTAGCACCTTTATCACTTTGTAAAGAAGAGAAAAAACAAAAACAACAACACAAAAGAAAACAGTATCCCATCTACTCTCTCTAACTTTCTATTCACCATCAACACCATCCTTTGTACTGCAACTACCAACATAACACTTTCCATCAAATTTTCTTTCATTCTTTCTGCAAACCACCATCGTCACCACACGTCATCCCGTATGCCACTTACCTCTTCTTCCATTTCAAACCCTCCAAAAAACCAATCGACTACCATCTTTTCTGCATATACTTTCCTCTCACTATATAGCAAATCACTTCCCCTCTCTCCAAATTTCCCACTCTTCCATGCTGCCGAACCTTTTTCATTAGGTTTCTCTCCTTCAACATTCGCGGTGCCTCTTCGCTTCCTTTGAAATATTTTCCTCCTTCAGCTGTGGGAGGAAATTAACATGGGGGCACCGTTCGAGGGAATCATTCAAGATGTTAAAGGAAGAGTTAAATGCTATAAACAAGATTGGGTCTGTGCAATCTGTTCTGGTGTTAGCATATTGGCTCCAACTTTCTACATATTCTTTGCTTCTGCACTTCCTGTTATTGCATTTGGAGAGCAACTTAGTAGGGATACAAATGGAAGCTTGAGCACGGTCGAAACATTAGCATCTACTGCTATTTGTGGAATTATCCACTCGATTATAGGTGGCCAACCTTTGTTGATTTTAGGAGTTGCGGAACCGACTGTTATAATGTATACTTATCTCTACAATTTCGGCAAAAATACACCTGATTTGGGTGTTGAGCTCTTTCTAGCTTGGGCTGGTTGGGTTTGTTTTTGGACGGCGTTCATGTTAATTTTGCTTGCAATTTTTAATGCTTGCAATATTATCACTAGATTTACAAGAATTGCAGGGGAGTTATTTGGCATGCTTATCACTGTTCTTTTCTTTCAAGAGGCTATAAAGGGACTGGTAGGCGAGTTCAGCAATCCCAAAGTTGAAGAACCTTCCTCGGAGCAAATTCAATGGCAGTATACAAATGGATTACTTGCAGTCATTTTTTTCTCTAGGACTAATCGTCTTCACACTTAAAAGCAGAAGAGCAAGAACATGGCGATATGGAACAAAGAAACTACGAGGCTTTATTGCAGATTATGGGGTTCCAATGATGGTTGTGTTGTGGACTGCAGTATCTTATATAAAGCCAAGCACTGTTCCACATGATGTTCCTAGAAGGCTGTTTTGTCCACTTCCCTGGGAACCCGCGTCTCTTTATCACTGGACAGTAGCGAAGGATATGTGGAAGTGTGGCTTCTAAGATGGCACAACAGAAAGAATTCAACCTTCAAAAAACCATCTGCTTACCATTATGACGTTTTCCTACTTGGAATAATGACTTTGATTTGTGGTCTCCTCGGCCTTCCTCCTTCAAATAGAGTCCTTCCACAGTCCCCCATGCATACAAAGAGTTTGGCAGTTCTTAGGAGACAGCTGATCTGAAAGAAGGTTGTGAAAAATGCCAAGAAATACATTGAGGCTGGTGCCTCAGAGCGTGCAAGAACTCTTGGTCCAAAAGGGTCAGACCCACACAAGGCAACAGTTATTGGTGACGCCATTGGAGACCCATTGAAGGATACATCTGGACCTTCACTTAACATCCTTATCAAACTGATGGCAGTTGAGTCACTGGTGTTTGCTCCTTTCTTTGCAACCCACGGTGGTCTCCTCTTCAAGTTTTGGTAATTGAAGAGCACCGTCCATCATTGTCGCCGCCATTGCCTTCCACCTCCTCATTAGTCAAAAGTAAGGGCTTCTTTCCCATTTAATATAAATATGTGTTTGGTTTACAGTTTACTACTTAATTTCAGTATTGTCTACCAAATATGTGGTTGTGGCTTATTAAGATTTCTTCTATGACATAATCATGAAGCAAGTATCAGAGCATTTTCCATTTGCTTTTATGGCCGTTGATGTGCTTATGAAAAATTTGATTGGCAGAGTTTACAGTTGATATAATGTATATACAGAGCTAAGATATTCTAAGGAACTACATTAGTGAGAACATGCTAAGTTAGTTTGTACTATGAACATCTATTATATAACTATAAAAGAAGTCGGAAATCTTAAATGCAAAAAAATATATATAAAAAAAATATTAGTAAATTTTATATTTAGATTTAGTTTAGTGTTAATTTAGAATTTTTTAATTAGTTTAGATTTATTTTATAACTTTAAAATATTTAGAATCATAATTAATAACTTTAGAATTTTATTTTGTTTTAGTTTTATTTTATAACTTTAGAATTTTATTTCATTTAGTAAATTTTAGAATTTTATTTGTTTTAGTTTAGTTTAATAACTTTAGAATTTTATTTGATTTTATTTAGTTAACTTTAGAATTTTATTTGTTTAGTTTTAGTTTAGTGACTTTAGAATTTTCATTTGATTTAGAATTAGTTTAATAAATTTATAATTTTTATTTGATTTAGAATTAGTTTAATAAGTGTATAATTTTTATTTAGTTTAATAACTTTAGAGTTTTTATTTGATTTAAATTTAGTTTAGTAGTTTTAGAATTTTATTTGATTTAGATTTAGTTTAGTAACTTTGGAATTTTCATTTGTTTTAAATTTAATTTAGTAACCTTAGGATTTTAATTTAATCTAGATTTAACTTACTAAATTTTAAAACTTTAGTTTAGTTTAGATCAAATTCAATAATACTAGATTTTTTTTATAACCTTAGAATTTGTAATTAGTTTAGAATTATTTTAATAAGTAATTTTTAATTTAGTTCGAATAACTTCCTTAGATAATTAGTTATATTCCTTTCATTTGTATATTTCTGTCATTTCAATTTCTCGGTGCCTCTTCATCATTAATTTGTTTTTGTCAGATTTATTTTCTTGTGAACTTCTGAATATTTATATGTTCATTTTATTTTGCTCATTCCAAGGGAAATGTTTCAACTCAGCTGACTTCATGTCATCAAACACATCTCATCCAATCCTGCGAGTACCCTCATTCATCTCTTGTTTGTTACTATTTTGTTAAACCTAAGATAATTTTCCCAAAAGACTCCATTTTCAAACTCCCACCTTTTAAGTCAAAGCTTCGACACTAGGTCGTCGTATCTTCAAAAATCTCGTCCATACCCATCTTTTAGCCAAACGAATCATTTTAATCAAATGAACAATTTTTTAACCCAAAAAACAGATATTTCAAAAGGTTCCTGCGGAGTACCGCAGATGCATTGGGTGCTAATACCTTCCCACTGTATAACTAACCCCCGAACTCTCGATCTCTTTCAAAAACGCATTGTATTTTTATTACTTTTAAGTATTATTTTACATTGCATATTTTAGGGTTTTATTTCGCTCTTTTCCCTTTTCCCTTGGAAATAATAAAGCGCGGTGGCGACTCTTGCTTTTACGAGTCAAGTTAATTAAAAACTTGATCTCCAATTTTCACCGCTACACATAGGTACACACTTATTCCAAATCACCTTTCAGGTTATGGATATTGTCCCAGCCTATAGCTGTTTATTGGGATGACCATGGATCGATGAAGCAGGAGTTTTTACTTCAACCTTGCATCAGAAGCTAAAATTTATCCGTGAAGGGAAGGTAGTCATTGTGAATGGTGAGCAAGCTCTGTTGATATCTCATTTGTCTTCCATTAGCATTGTAGAAGTTGATGAAGCTGCTGTTGGAAATCAGTTTCAAGCTTTGTCTATTGATAATATAAGGAAGAATGAAGATTTTATCACCTCATTTAAGGATGTGCAGTAGGTAGTGCAGAAGTTCCCTAGCAAGGTGTGGGGGTTGGTTATTAATCCACCCGTGAACAGGAATGAGACTTGTTTGGGTTTCTCCATGAAGAAGAAGTTCATGAAGCAAAAGTCAGATTTTAGAAAGTACGAAGACATCTTTCACAATGCAGGATATCTCATCTGACTACTCCAAAGATCAATGCTATTCTCGAAGATGACTCAGAGTAAAACATGCTGAATTTTGTGACACATGGAGTCAGAATCTAAAATTGGATCACTGTTGATGTTACTTCTTGCATTCACATTTCAAAGTAATTTGTTTATTGTTTTTTGTTTTTCATTTCAAAAGTCTTTCACTCTGCACAAGGTGAAAGTGATGTTGTATGGGTGTGTCTTTTGTTTTGAATTTTAAGATCATTAATAAAAGTTGTTTTTGATTTCTAAATTATGTCTTTATTTTCTATTTTTATTGGAAAATGGTAGTCAGAAAAAAATTTCAAAATAAATAATAACTGTAAATAAATCTTCATAATCACTTGTTACATGTATTAGTTTCTAAAATCAATCATAAATCATATGTGCAGATTAATTAAAAAATCCATTGAGTGCAATGACTATACACCCTCTCTCAACTTTGAATATCCTGTATATTTGGATGAATAAGAAGAGTATGATGAAATCCCAGAAGAGGTTTCATAGTTGCTTGAGTGCGAGGAAAATACCATTCAACCATTGGAGATGATTAACTTGGGTTCAGAGGAAGATCCAAAAGAAGTCAAGATTGGGGAACTACTTCATCTTGATGTGAAGAGCAGGTTGATTGGATTGTTGAAAGAGCATGTGGATATATTTGCTTGTTCTTACTGAGACATGCCTGGTGTAATACGGTGGGAGAACTCACTTGGGTGTTTTTCGTTTGATCGCAATTGTTGCGAATAGCAAGAGTCTCCACCAACTTTTCTTTTATAAAATAAAGGAAGGGGTGAAAAGAACAGGAAAGACATTTCGAGATATTTTCTTGAGTTCGGGGGGTCGGTTATGAAAAAGGAAGATGTTAGCACCCTTTTCATCCATAGTTATCTACGGGCTCTTAGTTGCTTGGTAGATCACTTTGTAAAATTGCTTTCTTTGAAATGTGTTTGTGTAAGTTTGAAAATATTTTAAAACGCTTTTGTTTCGGCAAACTTTGTAATGATTATCGTCTCTATAAGAATGCATACAAAGTGTTAGTTTTGAAAATAGTTCAAAGAGATGTTTGTTTTTGAAGGTGTTTTGAAAGTGTGAGTGCGAAAATGGTTTTAGTTTTTTGAGAAAGCAACTACGAGCGTCTTACCTACCCAAAAGGTCTTTATCCTTTTCCTCCTCCTTTAGATGTTGCTATCTTACCATTGATTGGTAAGAATCCCTATCGTTTGGATGTGAAGGGACAAGCGTGGTTCAATCGTATAATCATTGAAGGAAGCTTATGAGACGCTTTAGCAATTTTCGTAGGGACTAATATTGTTTTACCAAAGGCAACATCGAAGGGTCATCGAGGGACTACGATCTTTTTTATCGAGGGTCTTTGCTAAAACGCCCATATTCGAGGGACATGACTATTTTTCGAGGCAACAAGTGAGGTTATCCTAGAGGTGCTTGTGTGAATTGTGTTTTGATTGCATGTATTTTTGTCTTTTGAGATTAGGGTTTTCTAACAGTCGATTTTATCTTACCATACACACCCTAATTACTAACAATTATATGAAAACGATAAATTTATGGAAATTAAAATCCTACGCTATTACATAATTAGGGGAGTGGGGGTATAATTTATAAATGGGGATGAAGTAGAAACTTAAGTATTACAACTATATCGAATAACAATGAAGAAAATGTAAAAACAGTGTAAAAAGAAAGAAAAAATTTATTTTGAACTATTATGTGTCGTCACATGTTGCTATGCATCGACACATAACTTTTCTTGCTTCTGTAAAACAAAATCAACTCAATATGAGTCGACTCATAAGGGGATTTTTCAACTCATTCCACTTCTTGCTTCTGAAAAATCCCAAATCAACTCGGTATGAGTCGATGCATAATGGGATGTGTTGACTCATGCACATGTTTGTGTCGACACATACGCGTTTTGTATCGACTCATGAACCTTTCATCCTTCTGTTTTGGGGCCTGGATAATAGTATGAGTCGATGCATAAGGCCAAGTGTCGACTCATACCATGTTTTGTCAGTAGAATGAGTCGACCCATGTGGGTATGTGTCGACTCATGCTGTAGTTTCTTGCCTCTATCGTCATTCTTTTGCATGTATCAGTCTGCTTTTAACATATGTTTGATAAAAATGAACACCAAGTAAGTGGTTAACCTCAAAGGGAAGTGATTACTACATTCTATCTTAACAAATGAACCAAAGATGATGTATGGAAAATGTGAAGTCAAGAAGACTTACCTTGGAACTGCACTTTATGTTTTGAGTCTGAACACTTTTCAAGATGTTGTGTGGACTTCAATGAACCTCCAAAAAGCTGTTGAACCTCCTTCTATATTGAAAG